AGTCGGGCTGGCATGTGGATTGTTTAAGTCCGTTCCATATGTAACGTTGTGCTAAGAGAATGAACCCTCTTAGACTTGATGCTATGATTTTGAATACATAGACTTTATCATTTTCATGGGAAAAGACTAACCGACAACGCGTGTTAGGCGTAGGATTATCTCTAATTAGGGATCGAGATAAAGTCCCACATGCGTGTAAGACATGGATTTTTGGTGCTACGATGTTGAATACGTAGACTTTGCCACTGTTTCTTCCTGTGTTACTTGAAACACTAAAAGAAAGTTGGAAGCGCCAGAGGTGTAATATTAACTTGGCATGAATTTTCACTTAGAGTGAAATTCGGAAATTTTCTTTATTATCACTAGGATAATTCCAGAAAATATTTAATCTGTTGGGGATTTTATAATGACAACTTGCTATTCTTATTGAAAAAGGATTAACAAGTTCATTGGGGGGTTGGACTATTAGAGGTGTGATGTTAACCTAACAGTATTTTTATGGACCTATCGCTCCGTTGATGTGAGTCGATAAGTGGAAAGTGTTGCGATCGGAGCAACTTTGAGGACCTATCGCTCTATTGACGAGAGTCGATAAGTTGATTTTGTCAGAGGTGTTTGATATTAACGTGACAAGATTGTGTTGCGATTGGAGCAACTTTGTGGACTTATCATCCCATTGACGAGGATTGATAAGTGGATTTTTGTCAGAGGTATATTGTTAACGTGATAGGAATGTGTTGCGATTGGAGCAACTTTGTGGACTTATCATCCTATTGACGAGGATTGATAAGTTGATTTGTCAGAGGTTTGTTGTTAACGTGACAGGAATGTATTGCGATTGGAGCAACTTTGTGGACTTATCATCCTATTGATGAGGATTGATAAATAACTTTGTCAGAGGTTTAGTGTTAACGTGACAAGATTGTATTGCGATGGGAGCAACTTTGTAGACTTATCATCCTATTGATGAGGATTGATAAGTGGGTTTTGTCAGAGGTATGATGTTAACGTGACAAGATTTGTGTTGCGATGGGAGCAACTTTGTGAACTTATCATCCTATTGATGAGGATTGATAAGTGGGTTGTCAGAGGTTTGGTGTTAACATGACGGGAATTTGTTACGATCGGAGCAACTTTGAGGACTTATCATCCTATTGAAGAGGATTGATAAGTGGATTCTGTCAGAGGTATGGTGCTAACATGACAAGAGAAGATGTTGCGATTGGAGCAACTTTGTGGACTTATCATCCTATTGACGAGGATTGATAAGTGGGTTTTGTCAGAGGTTTAGTGTTAACGTGACAAGAGAATGTGTTGCGATTGGAGCAAATTTGTGGACTTATCATCCTATTGAGGAGGATTGATTGTGTTGCGATTGGAGCAACTTTGGAGACTTATCATCCTATTGACGAGGATTGATAAGTGGATTGTCAGAGGTATGGTGTTAACATGACAAGAGGATGTGTACTTGTGACTTTCACAAGATTTTAGGAATTAGCGTCTCACTGGGGAAACTTGCTAGGTGAGTTTATCATCAGGAACGATGAGTTCTGATACCTGTGATTTGAACAAGATTTTGAAGACTTAGTGCCTTGCTGGGGAAGATTGCGGTTTGAGCAATTTTGAGGACTTATCATCCTATTGACAATGATTGATAAGTTGATTGTCAGAGGTGTATTGTTAACGTGACAAGTTAGGAGTGATGCAAACTGAATTCATACTCCGTGGGGATGATGATCGTCAGAAGTGTAATGTTAACTCGACGATGTGAAAGATTTATTACTCTTAATCCAATGGATTCCAAGTAACCAACCCCCAGTCTTGATTAAGACTTAGCAGGGGAATAAAAAGAGGTAGACAAGGCAAATCACCTAGTGGGGCACTATCCATGAAGTCGGAATAGAGGCACATCACCTGGTAGGCCATTATCTGATGAGTTTGACTATCAGAGGTAACTGTTAACGTGATAGTTTTGTGGAACTGTCATCCTATTGAAGAGGATTGGCAAGTTGATGGACTATCAGAGGTAAATGTTAACGTGATAGTTATTGGACCTGTCATCCTACTGGAGAGGATTGGTGGGGGAATTTGGAGGAAAAGGACTATCAGAGGTGACAGTTAACGTGATAGTTTTGGTGGACCCGCCATCCTACTTGAAGAGGATTGGTGGGGGAATTTGGAGGAAAAGGACTATCAGAGGTGACGGTTAACGTGATAGTTTTGGTGGACCCGCCATCCTACTTGAAGAGAATTGGTGGGGGAATTTGGAGGAAAAGGACTATCAGAGGTGACGGTTAACGTGATAGTTTTGGTGGACCCGCCATCCTACTTGAAGAGAATTGGTGGGGGAATTTGGAGGAAAAGGACTATCAGAGGTGACGGTTAACGTGATAGTTTTGGTGGACCCGCCATCCTACTTGAAGAGGATTAGTGGGGGAATTTGGAGAGGTGGCCGAGCCACCTATTGGTGGCTCGGTGGTGGCCGAGCCACCTTGGTGGCCGCCGAGCCACCAAGGAGGTGGCTCGGCCTCCGAGCCACCATTTGGTGGCTCGGAGGTGGCCGAGCCACCCCAAGGTGGCTCGGCCACCGAGCCACTTAGGTGGCTCGGCCGAGCCACCACTTGGTGGCTCGGCCACCGAGCCACCTTGGTGGCTCGGTGAGCCGCCTCGGTGACTTGGTTTCCGAGCCCCTCCGGGTGTTTGGTTTTCTGCTGTTTTCCACCTTTGGGTTCTGTCCGTGATTCGGTTGATCCAGACTCTGATTTGATTCCTGATTTGGCAGTAAGTCGGATTCCTGATTTGGCAGTAAATCCACTTCTGAGTTCGAGTCCGAAACCGATCTTGATTCGATCGTGATTCGTCCGAGTATGCCCTTGGTTGGATGACTCGTTGACTCTTCGAACACTTGGCTTGATCCCGCACGCGAATGGACGTATTCCGTTGCTTGCGTGCGATTAGTCAATCTCGTTGCCTCGTTGGTTTGTCGGTTTGTGCCGAGCTGAGCTAAGGGACCTATAAGCAATTTTATATGCCTACAGATACCCCCTCCAAAGTATTTCAGTCTCGTTCTTTTATAGAAGAGTCTGGAATACTTTGGATATGATTGTCCCTACCTTCAGTCGGTATAATGGGATCTTGGAATGACTTCCGTTCTTGATTCCTTCAATTCTCCAGGCTATTCGGTGCTTTGTCGAATGTCTGAAAGAGTTTCGGTGCTGCATTTATTGTCTGACCGTTGTCGGAATTTTGAACTTTGAAGTCGGTTCCTGATTTTCAATCTTTAGCTCGTATAACTAACCATCGATTGCTGGCGTCGAGTCTTTATCTGCAATGCGTTGTCCGGCGTAGTGTTGTTGAGTTATCCTTAAGAATATTTT